GTTGAACCTCTGCTGCAGGACCGCGCAAGTCGGGATGTTGTGGCATACGTCGTGGCTTGGGTTTAGGCGCTCAGCGCTCATGCGCCGCGCCGCGCCGCCCCGTCGAGCACGGCCCGACTTCCGATCAACCTTCGCAGTCACGGCGCCTCCAACCTTGAACGCGAACGTCGATGGCTATCTCGCCTGGCGGCCTGGGAGCCCGTGCTCAAGCGCAGCGGCTTCGTGTTTTGCGTCTCTTGCTCACTATCAGCTGTGATATTAGGTGTCGTCGTCGTTCCGGCATGAGACCGTTTGCTTTCATGCGTTTATGACGTGTGTGTATGTGTTTCGTTTCCTTTCCCGCTCGTTCGTGGCCAGGATCGACACTCGTTCCACTAATCGAGATCCTTTCGCGCCTCATTCACAGCGAGATTCTTGGCTGTCTTCCTGAACGATATGTGTTGTCAACGCACAGAGATGTTCTTGATCTAGGATGTACTGCGATATGCTCCGTATGTGTCCTGCCACATCCGCTGTCGTGAAGCACACGCATGACCGGCTCCGCCTACGACTTCCAGTCGACCTTCACGACGTACGGGGTCTGCCCTCGCCCCCCCTTTTAATGCTACTCTCGTCGGTGTTCAATGCGATACGCGCGTGAGCATCGATGCGGCGTCCTACGCCGTGCTACGAACTGATGCTCTCACCAGCAGTTGGCGTGAACGTCAAGCTCCGCTGCCATCTAAGTCCACCTGAATATTGCCGCGCATGTCTGTCCCGTCATCCGATCTTCAGATTCTCAGACGGGTCGTATCTGCTCCTGCTGGATGGTGCGCTCTCATTGTTCCAATTTCCATGATTTCGATAACGCCTAGATATCTCTGCTGTCACGGTCGCATTGCACCCGTCGTATAGAGTCAGTCATGCGAGGTGAACCTTCCAACTAAAGAGTGGATAAATAGGAGATTCGCGATGAAAGCGCGTCTCGAGGTGCAAAGGCTGTATTTTCGACATGATGCATGCATGGGCGCTCTTCTAGAGTCCGGGACTCGAAACACCGGTGATAGAATGTCTCGCCTCCCTGCATCTTGAGAATCCACCATCAGACTTCAGCACCCACGATGTCTGCTCGCATGCCATGACACCGAGCATCACATGAAGCAATAAACCAGTAAGACAATGACCAAAAACATCATATCTTGTTGGTGGTGTCGTCATCACGGTTACGGTCGGATGTACACACCGAAGGAGCATGATCCTGAGTGTTTACTCATAGGCGCAGGATACATCATGCCGACAAGGAGATTGTCGAATCTGTGCGTTGGAGGGACGGAAGTGCCTTGGGGTCCCGTGTAGCTTGAGCACCTCCCACGACGACCGTAACCCATGTATGCCTTCCGAGTGCCTCAAGTTTCAGCACTGAATGGGGCATACGACCGCGGCCGGCCCAGAGTCTTGTCCGTAAAAACTCCGGATCCCTCAATACCAAATCTCAACTCCCACCAACTGTGTCTACTAGCGGGACGAAGACATCCCCCGAAAGACTGACTGAGCGTACCCCACGAAAGACCTACCTCCTCTCGTTCTGAGACCTGATGTTGCTGCGAAGCAAGGCCGCTCGGGGACTGCGTCTCCTGGGTACATACATCACCGCATCATTAGGGTCCAGCGAAGCGACGGCTAAGTCTGTCAAACCTTGGGGGCAGGCGCACGCTTTTGGGACTGACCAACCCATTTCCCTTCCCTTTATAACGCCCTTCTTTGCGTGACGCCCGAGGCGTCCGTGAGGTCGATTTTCTGCCCTACTTACCTGTCATGGCGCCTTATCCCTTGGAACAGTGCCGCCAGGCTCAAACCACACCTTTGCGATCGCCGGTCCCGTCGGGATTGCCGACATCCTCGCCTTCGCCATCAATTTTGACTTCCCCGCCGTCCTCGTCTTCCCCGCCGTCCTCGTCTTCCCCGCC